GGGGGGGGGAGTAACCAGTATTTTGCTCTGGCAAAGTTTAATAAAAAGTTACATTTTGTATCTCTACCCCTGCAACCCCCCACAGGTCATTTCTTTCTGGTGCAAGTGGCTAAGGGCTTTCCGACCAGGGAGTGTCCTGACTCAAAGCCACCATGTGGGGGTACATAGGGGTTGTATCTCCAACCCAACCCAAAGGGTGACGTCCTATTTGTGGAATGCAGCTAGAATATGTTATTCAGGCTGAAGACAGATCTTGGGAAGAGATCAACTAATTGACACGGCCTTTGACATCTGTGCTGTTTTTAAGTCCAGCCAGAAAGCTCCTTTTGAATCATGCTTGGCCATGGCCGGGTTTAGGCTTGTTGAAATGTGCCTGTAATCAGAACTGACTTTGTGATTCACAGCACACTTTCCATCCGACCCACTCCTGCAGGAACAGCCTTCTAGGGAGGCCTGTTGGCTCTCAACTGTCATTGCCTGAATTATTTGGAGTTTGATGATCCCAAGGAAATTCCTGATGAGCTCGGGCGCAGGGTCCTTCCTCCGAGACAGCGCAACACAGGGCAGGAGCTAGCACTGCCTCAGGGCCACCATTCATCTTGCAGTGGGACCTCACACAAGTCACTTAACCTCAGTGCCTCATCTAGAGAATTGCCGGCGTTCCTACCTCATAGGCTTGTCACTGGGATTGCATGAGTTCATGTAGCGGGGAGTGCGTACAATAGTGCCTGGTATGGATTCCTGGGCTTTCCTGACTGGCCCTTGTCAGCAGCCCAGCAGTAGCCACGTGGCCACTCTCCGAGGCTGGCTGCTGCTCGCCGCGGGTACTCTGAGGGTACACAGACTGGCGCATTGCTAAGCTCGGATCCCTGGAGCTCCCACGTAGCCATGATTTTCAGAGCTTTCAATCGTGTAAGCCTGCCCTGGGACAGCTGTCTCTCTCGGGCTTCATTCTGCATTTAAACCTAGTCCACCCGCCAGGAGGGCCCTCTCATTGGGCTCACAGGCTGGGAGACTTGGGCAGGACATGCCCGCGGCTGAGAAATCAGCCACCTTCCTAGTCTCCCCGCCACCCCTACGCCCCAGATTTTTCCAACATTTAAGCATCTCTGCAAGTAAAACGCCATTGGGGGCCATTGCTTATGGGGCTAGGGGCCCACAAGATTCTTCCCCAAGCAGGCAGGGCAGGTGAGGCAGCCCACCAGCCGTACTTCTCTACAGCAGCCTGATACCCTCCGTGGAGGCTGGCCTGGCAGGGGCTCCGGCTGTGACGGAGTGCCCTGGGAAATGTGATGAGAATGTTGTGAAAAACGCTTCCCAGCCATTGCGCTGCAGAGGCTGCCTAGTGTTGTACAGAAGACAGGCCAGTTGTCCGCGTGCATTAGCCATCTCCGAAGGAACAATTAGAGGCACGTTCAGCACGAGCCTCCTCACCGTGGAGCTGGGGCGTAGCTGTCTTATTTAGAATAGATGAGTGCTGTGCTGAATGCCTGCTTGCTGCCTTTGAGGAGGGCACTAAAGGCCCTGTTATGTAGTGGCCTCTGCGTCGCTCTTCATATGATTCTTATGTCAGGGAATTATGGTCCCGCTGTTTTCCAGAGAAAGCCAGATGGCTGACACTGCCGTGTTCTCCAGAGACACCTGAGATCCGTGCCAAGCTCATTACCGTTTGCCAGTCTCAGAGAACTCAGAGGCCTTACCTAGAACGCAGTTATTGTTATTACCACTACCACCACCACCCCTTTCTAAAAAGCCCAGCCACAACGTGTATTGACCCATCATTCTCTGGGCAGCAGCCACCCAGCCTCCGTGTGGTGTGCCCGCTTTCTGTAGCTCAGCCATCACCAGCCGGTTTTCATGTCCGCTTGAAATTGTGGACTGAAACCATGTATCCCCTAGTGAAGTAGAGTTCCAGCCCGAAGAGGCTTCATCACAGCACTGACATGAAAAGACAAACAGAAATCTGACTTGCCCGGTTAGCCATCCAATAAAAAAGCCACCCAAGGGTAGAGGGAGAGAGATCCATCACGTCCCAGCAACCCAGCCAAGCCTGCAAGTTCAAGTGCAATATTCTAGTTGGGTTTGAAAAACCTTTCCTTGGGCGAAGAGGAGAGCTCTCCTGACAGCGCGTTTTGCCAGTGAGCCAAGCCTGTTTGAGCTCGAACAAAGGGAATCCTGCCCGTCTGGCTCGCCCGATACCAGAGTGCCACTTTCCCAGCGGTTTGCGCACCATTGTGGGAGTTTGAATAACGTCTCTCGAAATGAAGCCGAACTCGCTCTTCACATTGCCTGGGTCTGCCTTTATCTGTCTGTTGTCAAGCTCTGGCTGCGGGGGTGGCCCCTGGCCCTGGTTCAGCATGAGCAGAGCAACAGCATCGGTTTGAAAAAGAGATGATTATGGGATGATTCAGTAGGCTAGCCACCAGAGAGTTTCTCTGTTACACGGCATGTAGGGTTTCATGTAAAAATGGAATCCCCACTTTAGCGAATGTGCGCCGATGGCCTATTACAGCGTCTACCAGGGCTGTCCTTGTTAGTGTGTCTTGCTCTTTCCCGGTAGCTTGATTTTCCAGAAAGTTCTTTTGGTTGATAAAGTTTCCATTAAGGAGGCAGAGGTGGAAAACCTTGCTGCCCTGTTGGTTTAAAAGGCGTATTGCAAGGAGAGAGGTGTGGTTAGAAGTTCAGCAGGTAGTGGGAATCTGCCACCTTAATTAAATGCATTCCCTCTGCCTTTGGAAGGCTCAGCCTTTCCTCACATGAGTGAGTAGGGGGTGTTTTTATTTTTAATCCCGGGAAACTGAGTAGGCTCCTTGGGTTCTGTAAGGTGATGTCTTGGGGGAGGGGGGGGCTGTTACTCTTCTGCATAATAGTGTGGTTCTGATGATTCGGGGTGCCCATGTGTGATTGTAAATACATGCACGGCGTGGTGGGAGAGGTTGGTTCTGCCCACTGGCATGGCCAGGCAGCTACCATAGCCCCCGTCTCACCCGCCTCAGGATCGGTATAGTCTAGTTGGCCAGAACAGCGTCGGCAGCCCACAAGCCGCAGGCAACAAATGTGCAGCCTACTCAGCTGATCATGTTCATAGAGCGTGAGGGGAAGTTGAGGCAGCCACGCCTGGCTTAGCTCCGAAGGTGTGGTGATAGGGCAACTCCCAGTCCACTCTGCCTCCGAGCACGAGGAGGAGGAGGTGGGTACGACTGCATGCACTGCAGACTCCTCCGAGGCGACTGGTGTGCGCTCTGCCGTGACTGAGACTTGGAGCAGGAGAACCGGCTGGGAAGAGGAAGGGGCTTCAAGTGGAAGCAACCCTTGTGGGCCAGTCCGCAGCTCCAGGGGCTGAAACCGAGGGGCAGATCTTAGGACCTTGGTCACCAGAGGCAGGGCTCACAGGATGTTCCTCGTGCTGCAGCGTGGCATGGTGGTGGGAGCCACGAAAGGGACTCTGCTTGCTGCATGTTGAGCACGCGCCGAGTTTTCTGGTGACAGCTCAGTGTTTAGCACAGCAGGGGGAGATGTCTCCGGGGAGACAAAGGGAGGACAGGCTTGGGTTTGCTTTCAGAATGCTGATCTTTCATATTTGGGGAGAGTTTATTACCTTTTTTTCTCTTTTTTTTTTTTTTCAGAATGAAGTTGGTCTACTGGAATTCTTCCAAAATGTGATAAAAGAAACTAGGGCAGAGCCAAAATTGGTGACTAACTGGGTCCTCAACACTTTTCTGGGTTATTTAAAACAGCAGAGCTTGGCTGTCGGCGAGAGGTGAGTGAGGGCGGGACACGTCCTTCTTTTCCCTTTGTAATAAACTCTGGCTCCGGAAGCCGCTGACACAAAGCAGGCCCAGAGTTGGGTGCTCCCTGGCTCCCCTCGGGATGTCCTGAGTGGGACACCGTGTGCCCTGTGGACACCGCGTCCTAAGGGTGGCCTCCCTGCCATTCGGTCATGTGCTTCTCTGTGCAGCATGCTGCGTGCGCTCTGCTGGGGGCTGGGGGTTTGGAGAGGAATCAAACGAGTTTACCAACCGTTGGGGCCACCAACGGTCCCCTCCTGTGACCACGTTATGCTGGGGGTGTGCACAGGGGCCTGGGAGTGACTGCTCAGGCTTGGAGAAACCACCTACGGTTCCCTTCAGAAGGAGGTGCTGGACGTAGCCAAGGCTGGGGGACCCAGTGGTGGGCAGGCAGGGGCACCAGGGCGAGGGGCAGTCACAGGCGGGGATGAGAGGCTGGGCAGTCTGGGAAGGCAGTCGGGAGGCCGGGGGGAGCAGGAGTGCCTGCCGGGCCTCCGGAGAATTTCAGTTGGTTGTCAGCTCTTGACAGCCGTAGACCAGGGGCTCCTCTGGTTGCTGTGTGAGGGGAGCGCCAGAAGAAACTCGATGAGGGAGACCAGTTGGGACGCTCTCACAGAAGAGCTGGAAGGCAAAGGCGCAGCCGGGCGGGACGTGGACCGAGTGCAGGGCAGCACTTGCAGATGCCTGGCCTGGCAGTGGGGTGAAATGGATGGCGGCACTGATGAGTGTGGTACGACCAGGAAGCGGAATTCGTTTAGAATAGAGGTGGACGTGGTGTGCTTGGGCTGACTAGAACCAAAGTCCTTGTGGTGACCAGGAGCATTTGGCCAGCAGTGTGGGCCTGTAGCTCACCAAAGCTACCTGAGAACCATGCCTTTGAGCGTTTTCATGCACTCATTACTCAGCACATGTTCATTCAGCCTCTGCTCTGGGTGAAGCTCTGTGTTGATTGGAGAGGACCACTCAACAAGACAGACACACACAGAAGGTGATGATTACCAAGCAGTGAAGGGCCCGCTCCAGAAAGAGGAAGGAAGGACTGGCTAAGCGAAGACTGCGCAAAGAATGACAGGATTAGTCAACCGCTTCAAAGGGGCAAGAGTGTCCCAGGTCTGTGGGAGGAGCGGCTTGTGTGAGGGTGTGAACCTGACACTCCGGGATTCAGGCCCACAGTCCAGTAGGAGAGGAAGCTGAAGCTCATGGCACAAAGGGGGCGGCTGACGTCGACTGGATGCGTGAGCCTTGTCAGGAGCGTGAAGGGTGCTTGAGGCAGGGGTCTGAGCCACCCTAGCTTATAGCGGGAGGACAGGCAGAGGAGGAGGGAGCCGAGAAGCGGGCAGAGAAGTAGGAGGCAGGTTAGCAAAGTGGTGTCACCAAACCAGAGAAAAGGCTAGTTGCCAGAAGGAAAGAATGAGCCGGAGTTGGAGGTGTGGGGAGTGGGAGTGTCGGTGGCAGGTGATGTTGGGCACAGTAGGGGGAACCCAGGCTGTGTGGGAGTGCCTTCATCCCAGCAGCAGGCCTGCCATGGAGATGGAGATGGAGATGTGCGCGGGGAGCAGACACATGCCGACGCTTGATTCCAAATGAGGCCTCCTTCCTAAAGTCAGTACCCCATCTGTACAGCGCCAGCTTCAGGTTGAGCCTCGCTCTCTCGCTCTCTCTCTCTCTCTCTTTCTCTCTCTCTCCCGCTCTCGCTCTCTCTCTCACACACACCCAACACACCGGAGGGTTTGTTAGAAAGCATTGCGAGTGAGGTTCCGCCTCACACATGCGTGGGTTTATTCAGACAGAACGTATTGAGGCATGCCTCTGTGACCAGGGATGGCTGCAGACAAGTTCTCTCTGGTTTGTCTTAGTCTTATTGGGGTACCTTATAAAGAAATACAATCGAATGAATGGTTTCTGGGGGATCTGCTGCTCCAGTACATTCAAGGCAGAAGGGCAGCTCAGAGGGTTATGGTGACGGCTTTTGGGGACCCGCAATAAGGTAATCTCCATAGGTTTTCTGAAGGGACACAGGATGGTCATGGAGGCTTTTTAGGAAGAATTTTAAGAAAACTGAAAACTGTGCTGGTCAGGAAAAGGCCAGAAAAGGTTTACCAAGGAGTTTATTTTCCATCACCATGTCTTTTGGGGGTGGGAGCAAGGGCTGTCCTATGAGACTTGCGTTGGAAAACCTTACCCCGTTCACTCTACAGCCCTGGTCTTGCCCCTTCACACTATTGTCCCCCAAACTGCAGGACTTGAGTACCTGGAGGACCCCTGTGTTAGTCTGGGTAAACTAGGGAGACAAAGCCACAGAAACGCATATATGTATAAGAGAGAGTTTTATGTATAGGGTAAGTGTGCATTCAGAAAGCATCCAACCCAGTCCAGTCCTAGCCCATAAGTCTGTCTTAGGTCATATGTCTGACACCGATCTACAAAGTCTTCTTCAAACTCAAAAAACACACACGATGACGCCAAATATAGGAGGATCACAGGCCAGTGGGCAGAAAGTCTTTGAATCCAGTGGCGGTGTAAGCATCTCAGTGATGGCAGGGGTCTCCACACGGCTGCTCCAGCACCCAGGCTGCATCAGGGTCAGTCC